ATATGAGAAAGGTAGTGGCGGCTCAGAGAGCCTCACACGATCTCGCCAACATAGCAAAATTTGTTGGGGAAAAAATAAAAAACGATCTTTTTTTTTTTTTTTTTTTTTTAAGTTCTTTTTTTAATTATTTTTCCTCGTCTTTTTTAACCCTTCGGTTTCAGGGTCTAACATGTTGGTTGCTGTCCCCAACAAATGAAGCAGGTCATTATTGCAAATCAGAAGGTCGCCACACAAAAAAAAAGGGCACTTTAATGCCATTTCACTTCTACCGTAAAAAACTACAATCTTTGAAAACTTCACCCTTCCAAGTTAAAAAATTTACCGTTGTAGACAGAGGCCCACAGTGCCTGTTGGAGTAGGTCAAAAAAGTTCAACCTTCGAAGTTGAACCACCACTACTTCCTAAAGTCGTGGCTGTTAAGTTGGCGTTAACGCTACGAGATTTTAAGAAACGTACGGGCCACTACAGGAGCGTCCAAATTCATCCAACTAGAAACGTTTCTACTCTATTTTTTTCCACGGCCGATAGCTGGGCCAAGTACTGGTGGTTTAATGCCATGATTTGCCATCTCATTTCTACCGTCAAAAAAGTTCAACCTTCGAAGTTAATCCACCAGTACTTGGCCCATACATCGGCCGCGGGCCCTTAGCATTAACGCTACGCGTTTCCCGCGCTTCGGCAAAGGCTTGGCATGGCAATGGGGGAGGGAGCTGGTGGCCCCATGGAAACTGGGCAAAAGGACTGCACAATGTCCTGGTGGTGTGCTATGTGGAAACACACAGACACAGTGACTGAAATCAACGAGGGGAAAAACAGAAACGAAAAGGGAAAAAAAAAAACCGAAACAGATTGTTGACACCTCGTAGTCAGACTCCCCGTTCGACACGGGGAGCATTGAATGCTAGGCAGTGTAACGTCCACTCTCCCAAATGTATCTGGACGTAAAACGCGACACGTGAGTGCATAGCTTGGTTTCCCTTTTCACCTTTTCTTTTTTTTTGCTTTTTCTGAAGAAGATCATTGGCACTTCGTGATCTGACTCCCCGTTGGACACGGGGAGCATTGAATGCCTGGCAGTGTAACGTTCACACTCTCCCAAATGTATCTGGATGTAGAACGCGGCACGTGAGTGCATAGCTTGGTTTCCCTTTTCACCTTTTTTTTTTTTTTGCTTTGTCTGAAGAAGATCGTTGGCACTTCGTGATCTGACTCCCCGTTGGACACGGGGAGCATTGAGTGCCTGGCAGTGTAACATTCACACTCTCCCAAATGTATCTAGATGTAAAACGCGTCATGTGAGTGCATAGCTTGGTTTCACTTTTCACCCGTTTTTTTTTGTTTTTTTTTTGAAGAAGATCTTTCGCACTGGCTGCATTCCTGGCGAGGTTTCGGGTGCCACCTGAGTGGAAACAAGAAAACGACGGCCTGTTTACGTTCCATCTGCTGGCAGCAGGTCCAGCATAAGGGGCGGCACCTGCTTGAAGCAACAAATGTCCCGTATTTTTCCCCATTCACTGCAGGCTCGGCAAAAATCGGCGCGCAGGGCATATTCAGGCTCGGCTTCAATAGCTGGACCAAGTACTGGTGGTTTAATGCCACGATTAGCCATCTCATTTCTACTGTCAAAAAAGGTCAAACTTCAAAATTTTCACCCTTCCAAGTTAAAATTTACCGCACCGCTGTACACAGAGGCCCACAGTGCCTGTTGAAGTAGGTCAAAAAGTTCAGACTTCAAAAAAGATCACCCTTCGAATAAATGCCATTTCACTTCTACAGTCAAAAAGTTCAAACACATGTTGTCAAACTTCAAAAAGTTCAACCTTCCAACTTCCAAGTGAAAATTTACCGTTGTTGACAGAGGGATGGTTCCGTCACCACAGTGCCTGTTGATGTAGAGAGCAGACCACAAAAAACCTGCGCGCCCATACAGGAGCTCGTACGGCATGCCCATGCCGCCATCTTCAGGCCCTGCAGCCAATGCCCGCTCCGATGCGACCTGTGCAAGACCATCCACCATATCACAACAACAGCAGACGAGCGCCGATTGCCGGGGAACTCGTCATCAGTGTGAGAGACATTTGTTGCACTGAAAGCCAGGCAGACTGGGCATATCCCCACCTGCCTGCCATTCGCACACCGAGGCAGGATCGCCTCTCTTCCTGATCTTCTCCCCCTCCTAATTCACAATGCCACTCACAAGGTCCAGCTAATCAGACCTCTGCCTCTGGCAGATGGATAGTATCTGGGTTTGCCCCTATGAACACATTTGTCGCACTGAAAGCCAGCCAGACTGGACACATCCCCACCTTCCTGCCATTTGCACACCAAGGTCTTCGCTAAGCAGGAGGATCGCCTCTCTTCCTTTTCTCCTTCCTCCTATTCACAATGCCTCTCTCAAGGCCCAGCTAATCAGACCTCTGCCTCTGGCAGATGGATAGCATCTGGGTTTGCCCCTATGATTGGACTATCATGCTTCGGCTTTGAGGAATAAACACAAAAACACAAAAAATTGAAAAAAATGATCATATGCGTGATGCATTACTGAACTCTGGACTGACAACAAAATTGTCATCAACGAGCGAAACATTTTTGCACTGAATCCCAAAAAAAAATAAAAATACATATATATATATATTGACGATATATATATATTGTCACATCACTACAAACTAAAAGAGCGCACTTTGCGGAACAAAGAATAAAAGCAAAAAACGGGCACAGTGATAACATGCAAAAATAAAAACAAAAAGAAAAAACGAGGGCAGATTGAAACCATTAAATTTCTCATTCTTCTTTGAACTCCACCTCCACTGTGCCTCTCACGTGCAAGGCTCGCCACGTTGATGAAGTTGAGCGCGAGCTGCCCCCATCCCCGTATGCCATAACAGCCCACTTGCACGCT